GGCAAACTTGAGCTTCAACAGAAAGCCGGAAGAAACTATGAAAAAGAAATAAAAAGATCTTTGGTACATTGTGTATTGAAAGTGTCTGGAAGATTATATGTTCATAATATGAATGAAGTTATTCTGGAGAGTATTTTATTTCCCAAAACCAGAGTTTCTGAATAAAGTAAGACCAACAATTTGTTCAGAATAAAATGGCACCATCATTGTTTACTTCGTTGGCTTTTGATCAGCTGCATACAGCCCAAAAACACCATTAAGAGTTAATGTACGGAAACAAATTTAATATACCTATATACAGAGTTCATTCATTTCTATAAATGGTTTCTAAGACACAGATTTGTATTCCACTTGTATACCACTCAGCCACTGGGACCCGACTCAGTGACCAGCTCATGAATTCTAACTTCTACCAGTTCATGATTTAGCGCTACCCCAACCAATGTCGTCAGTGGGACATCCAGTGATTGCGTACTGCCAATGGTTCCCAAACTAGGATGAAACAGCTGTCCAGTATTCCTCTGTGATTTTCAATGGTGGTTCTTCAATTCGTGATCAACTCATAAAAACATAAATAAATAAGGGAAAATTGACTTACCATGATAAAATTTGTGATAATTCAACAAAATCAGTATTAGTTTTATGCACTTTTACTAGAGTAAATTCAGAGAATTTATGTAAATACTCTAAATAGGCTGAAGTGAATTGTGCCAATGAAGAAATTGACTGGAAAAAAATCTCCTAGAACAAAAACAAACAAAAAAACACACATAAATAGTTTACAATAGTGTGTAAGTGTGTGTGTGTGTTGATGCATACTCATCTCTCAAACATTCTTTCTCCATAAAACATTTTTCTAAAAAACGATATACTACTTATTAATTCACTGGGATGAGTAGTTGTAGACTACTTACATCAACCAGCAGTACCTGCGTTAGTCAACCAGACCGAAATGGATCTAAACATCGGACAGCTGTTTCGCTCGTTTACGGCGAAGTTCATCGGCAGTGTACAACCAGTTTGACTTAGATTACTCAGAGAGCTGAATGAATTTAAACCACTAGATTTTGTGGTTAGCTATTTGGCATTGTATGGTTTAACTTCAACCTTCGGCTAGTTAACCAGACATATTACCATTAAGCTATTCAGGCTAATGATTGACCTTCTGTAGGACTGTAAAGGCTACTAATAGTCAGTCACCAGGGTGTAACCAATATCATGTTAGTGGTCACTAAATTCTCTCGGCAGCCAAGTTTGCGAAGTAAATTATACGCAAAAGGAATAAAATAGGTGTTTACACCACTTTTAAACCTTTCACAGTAAAACATATTTAGGATTTATCCTGGAGTTTTTCTGGAAGTCCTAGCAATCGGGAAGTATAAACCAGCTTTATTATGTGTTCGGAAACAGTTTGTCATCACACTAAAGCTTCCTTGGGTAAATTTCGTTTTGATACTAAGACAGACGCTCTAATGACCTCCATTATTATTTTGACCTTCAATATAGCCACCTTTTAACATGACCTATGTCTTTTTCACACAATCGATTCCTTTTACTACTTCGAACAAAGAGAAATCGAATATATATATATATATATATATATATATATATATATAGTCGAAGGATAATACTACGAGCTCGTTTTATTTCATGGATTCTCCTTCAACTGCGTACATCCTAGAGAAAATCAAACCATAAGTTACAAAATGTTTGAAAATACATTCTCACAATGACTTCGAGTTAGAGATAAAAACACATAAGCAACATAATTCCAGAAATGATGTAACTAGACCAATTTATACGGTGATAAAAAACCAGTTATCTATAGTATAATTAGACAAAAGGGGGTGAAGACGTAGAGTTCAGATTTCGCTTGGAAACGAGAATAGACTAGAGACAAAATATACGATCGACCAACAGAGTGAATGTATGCATATATTATGATGCAGAGTTCAAGAGGATGGGATTGAATGGTAAAGTAAAGTAACTTGGATTGATTCTTTCCACTGATATATCCTGGTCTTCCCATGACTTAGCGATTTCTAAAAGAATATTTCGTCAGACTTTATACATTAGGAAGTTAAGGCACTCAGACATAACTCAACCAACGCCTCCTTTTACAGTTTGTCAACTCGTGCATCTTACCTATTCTTCTTTACTGTTCACCCTTACTTATTTCTTCCTGCATTGCTTAAAAAAGACTAAGTCATACTTCGTAGAACACTGAAGACTGTCAGTAGGGCGAGTGGTATCCTATTGGGCTATATCGTTGACATTGTCATTGATAGGCACTTGATGTCATGCAACAAATTTGCTAAAGGAATTTTGTCAGACTGCGAACATCCACTTTACCCGCAGCTCCAACCGTGTGCCTCCTCAGGTAAAACAAGAATTTCGTCTTACCTTCTACATTAAAAAGTTAAGACAATCAGGTATTAACCAACCTTTAGTTTTGCAATTTTTAAACTCCTGTATTTTACCTATTGTACTCTATTGCTCTCCATTAATCTTTCCTGGGCTTCTCAAAAAAGATTATATCATATTACGAAGAGTATTAAATGCTGTGAGTAGAGCTTGTGGTCTGCAACTGCATGAGCTCGCTAATACTATAGTCGAGAGGCATATAAATTCCTGTACGAAATGGGCAAAGGCTATACTGTCAGACCCTCTGCACCCCCTTTATTCACACCTATCCCCTTGTATCTCATCAGGTAGGACGAGAAGTCAATATAAAAAGTTATATGCTCGTACCACTAAGTACAGAAATTCTACAATACCCTATTTAGCCCGTACTTTATGTGACGAAGACTCTGTTAGACGTGAAACTTACAAGTTACTACGTAATTAGCACACTGAATCGACCCTTTCATCGTTCATCTTTCTGTATTTTATGGTGTCACACTTTCTATCGTTCAATTATTACTCTGCTATTTTATTTTAGTTGGTATTACTATTATTACTACAATTTTGTACTTTATGCATATTTTTCTCCGTATGGCATACAGTATGTTGCTATGTAGCTGCAATAACAATCGTTTTATTACTGTTGTGTAATGTGTATTTTTAATTTTTTTGTTGTCGTTTTTGAGTAAATTAGATGTAATATTGTACTGAATGCTGAAAATTCCTTGCTGTATCATTAGTACTGTTTTTGGAATAAAGCAAATTATTATTATTATTATTAAGAAGTCTTTTCAGAAAACTTTATGCAAGTAGGTCTGAGTATAAAAATTCCACTATACCATATTTGGCACGTACTTTATGTGATGAAAATAGTGTTAGGCATGAACTAACTAACCTTCTTTGCACCATTAAATAAACTATTTCCTCCACCCTTATAACATCAAGCTTTATTGTTATTGTACTTCTTATATTTATAATCCTCTCAATTTTGTTTTTATTTGTATATTTTTTCATAAGTGTGAATATCATTTAATCTGTGTTATAATCGTTGATTTTGCATTTACCTTCACCATACTATATTGACAGAACATTAGATCCAACAGTCTACATGCTAAAATTTGCAAACTGAATCGACAATACTGTTTGAAGCGAACTCACTCTTATTATTATTATTATTATTGAGGAGGCCGCTGGGTGACATCGCGCGCGCGTCAGGCCATTGCTCGAGTGGAATTCGAAAGGGAAGAGGCGAGTGGGACGTCCAAGGGAGACATGGAGGAGATCGTGTGAAGAGGAGTTGAAACAGTATGGACTAACATGGATAAAGGTGAAAAGTACAGCAAAAGAAAGAAGCAAGTGGAGATGTGCAGTTGAAGCCGTCTGTTCCACTAGGAACCCAAGGGAACAATAATTATATTTAATATCTTCTATAGTTTGGTTTGTAAGGGTTAATTTTGTTTTTACGAGTTGATCACAGATTGATAACATTTAGAGAACCGTTGAAAACCAGGGAGTACTGGAAAGCTGTTTCATCCTTATTTGGGAATCATCGGCGGTACGCACCCCCACTGGGGCTTGAATATATATAATATTCTCAATTCGTGATTCAAATATTTTTGACTTTATATCGTTAGTGTGGAAAAATTCCTCTGGTTAATTTTGTTTTAATTTTTAATTTTATTTATATTGTGACAACACAGTGTGACAAATGTTGAGGATTTCATTCTGTATTATAAGTACTGTTTTTTGGAATAAAGCAGATTATTATTATTTTCACACGATGGGGTTGCTAGCCTCATACCCAACCTTTCCTCTTTACCAGCTTTATTTCTCGCTTAGCAAGATAAAGAAGTGCGTCGGCCGGGGATTGAACCCCAGACCATGTGCACGATCGGCGACCGTCTTAACCGCTGTGCCACCAAGGCACACAAAATAGATGCATTACGTCTTCTTATTGTTTTATCGAAATTCATGAATAGAAATATATATATATATATATATATATATTTGATATTGACAGAAAAATCACTATACTACAGACTATATAGATCGTTATTGACATATATGAGGAATGTCACAGACTTAAAAGCTTACAAGATCATGTAACAATAATTATATAATCCCTTAGTCAAAAGTTAGAACTACGTTATAATCATATATATATTTATTTTTTTTAATTTTTATTTTTGATTTACAGCTTGATTCCACACTGTATTTTTGGTACAAGTATGGAATTTTCAGCATGGATATCGGTAGCCCAAATTTTGCAGGCCGACCATAGATATCAGGTGTGCGCCGGCGTGGGCTCGAACCCCGGACCATGTGCATGGTCGGCGAGAGTCCTAACCACTGTGACACCGACGCACATATATATAAACGTGATGTTTTTTCGGGCTTATTTTCTGTTCTAACATTTATGCTTATGCACTGAACATTGAGGAAAAGACTAGTCAGGATTAATGGAGTATTGATTTAAACAAATACACTAAACTTTGAAGTTCAGGTTCATTTTAATGCGACATTTTTTCCAATGCTTTGAGCATAGGACTTCACGCTTCAAGCTTTCGAAGTTTTAGTGGTGTCAGTGTTTTTTTTTTGCAGAGTGGGATTACTAGCCCCGCAGTGCAACCTCCATCTCCCTTCCTATGCTTGTAATCTAGGTAAATCTAGGTTTAGAAGTATTTCATCCGGGAATCGAACACCGGACCACTTGCGTGGTTTGGTTAGCAAGCATTTCACTAATGAGTCACTGATTCAACTTTAATGAGAAGAAAATCAGCATTTTACGCATCAAAATACATTGTCCTTTATTTCTTGTTACAATATCAAATGTCTGAAGTAGTCAAAAGCTAATATTTCTTGTTCCTCGTAGAGCGGTTTCACTGGTTAAGGTTAATTGTAACCTTTCACTACTTTTCCCACAAGGATACACACATTACAGCTAGAATCATTGGAAGTGTAGAATACATTTCACTGAAGGAAGGTAATCAGTTGCACTTTTATGTTTACAGTGTTAGTACTTTCATGTGTAAAATATCGTGTTTACATTTGACGACAGTGTTAAATATCTTGTTACGTCATAGAAGACGGAAAAAGGTGTATCCCTTTTTCTCACCTGTGAAATACTCTCTCATATAACTTCATATTTGTAGCCTTTGACAGGTAAATGCCTATCCACTGTCTTCTCTCCCAGTCATGATCAACATCTGACACTATTCTGTGAGCTAGTGGATTAGAGTAAAATTTTGTAAAAAAGACTGATGTTCTTGGGAATGACTACAATTCAAGATGAATCAACTGAGCTTTAATTCAACTCCTCACAAAGACACATTTTTTGCACACCTACGCGCCTCCGCAATTATTCCTTTCTTCTTACGGGAACAATGTTTCAACACAACTGTTCAATTGAAATATAAACACTAGCAACCGAAAAACACGTTAAGCGTGTACCGCATATACAACACGCTGCGGCTAACATGCTACTTAAGCAGGACACAGTTCGCTTCACATTGGAGATTTTGCAGGGTGAAATTTCATCGAGGTAAAAACTCTCACTTTACTACACTAGAATAAACTGTATAATGGCAATATGAGGTTAAAAGACAGTCGTGTAGGCACATTTACACATCAGAACAAGTTGTATTTATTTAATATAACCTTTAACCAATAGGCTTTTTGGTTTGAACTCTGTCCTACATTCATGACCTTGTAAAATAAAGTGAGATCATATTCCCTTATGGCATTTGCAAGAGCTGGCACGGAATCACGTAGTTGTCTATGCAAAGTAAAGTACTGAATCGTATCATGCTGGAGAGAATAAGGGATGCATTGGATGCGGAACTCCACCAACCCGAATGAATTGGATTCACGGGAAGTAAATTATAAGCTGGTCAAATTGCAAATCTACGCATCATCATCAAATTATTATTATTTTTTTATTTTGATTACAGCTTGATGGCACACCGTATTTTCGGTACAGGTGTGGAATTTTCAGCATGTGATATCAGTTGCCCAAATTTTGCAGGCCGACCATAGATATCGGGTGTGTGTCGGCAGGGGATAGAACCCCAGACCATGTGCATGGTCGGCGAGAGTCCTAACCACTATACCACCGATGCACATAGAATGGTAATCAAACCTTTTACCTGGACTTCATCGACCTTCAGAAAGCCTTCGACAACGAAGTAATTTGGAAACTACTTCAACAATATGGTGGACAGTGCCCAAATCTTTATCAACCTCATTCAACAGCTCTGTATGACAGTGCCCCGTGTGAAGCGATCCACAAAGGAAAACACGGCAAACCCTCTGAAGGCCGACTATTACCATCGATGATATTCTTAGTTGTGGTGGACTGGATTATGTGGGAGATTGTAGGGTGGTGGGGGGGGCGAGAAGGTAGGAATACGTTAGACTGATAAGATGCCTGCAGAAGATCTGGATTTCGTGGATCATTAATGTTAAATGTCACACGAACTCAGACTTACAGGCGAAAAACAACAAATTGGCAAAAGAGACAGGCAACGAATATGGAACTCCAGGTGAATATAGAGAAGACGGAATTGGTGAAGATAACCAACCAACAACAACAACAATCAGCACCAAATACCATCAACAGAAAAAAATGGAAAGAAGTCACTTCCTTCACTTGTTTAAACAGTATCGTTTCAACTGCAGGTGACACCACGGATGAGGATGTCGAAACCAGGCAGAATCGAAAAGGCAAAACAGACCATCACCAATTTGAAATCAATTTGGAAATGTTCTGCACTCAGCCAGCATAAACAAAAAAAATTTGGATTTTCAACACCAATGTTAAATCAGTCGATTCTTCTATGTGGATCAGAAACTTGACGTGCGCGTCACGTAAAGCATTTCCAATCGACTACTGAAGTCTTTTATCAACAGCTGCCCGCACTCTATAGTGAAGATCACATGGCAGGCCACGAAGAATTAGCGACACGAAACTCGGAGCGAACCAATCAAGAACCTATTGCTTATAAAATATGTAAGAGAAAATGTAAAATAATTGGGCACACCGTGAGGAGACCATCGAATGATATTGTGCGTAATGCAGACGCTTGAAAAGAACTCGAATAGAAAATGAGTGGGACTTCTGAAGGTGACATAGAGGAAATCGCATGAAGGAGAGATGCGGGATTATAGGCAATCGTGAGGCCAGCTAAGGGGGACAGAACAAAGTGCCAATGAAGCCTTATCTTCCACTCGGAACCCAAGGAAGCAACAATAATAATACAATAATACATTCCCTTATTACAGATGTATACCATACACTCATAAAAATAAAAGAATATGTATGGGGGTGAACTTACTTCAACTGAATTCTCGCCTAATTTGTCCATATCACAGGTATTCCATACATCAGTTGTAGTCTGAAATTAAATGAAACAATGGCAACAGGATATCAAGAGGCGTTATTATTAAAATTAAATGTTCTTCTAATTCCAGTGAGATATATTTATTAGACATCCCTTAAATTATTTACACAACGTTTCATTAACACACAGGAAAAATGCGAAAGCTCTTTGTTGTAAAATGTCATTTCATTTTTAAAATCTAAATGGCAATTTGTCAAATCATTCTCAGATGTTACATTCTATAATCATCATCATAAAATATTTTTTTTTAACTAACTGTGACAACTTTATACCTAACCTTTAGAAGAGTAGCATTCTTTCTTCAATGATCAATCAGTCTCATTTGCGTGAAAGAAAGACTGAACCTGAGAAGCTTTCTTCAGAAATCCTAACGACAATCAACCACCACACTTATTTAGTTCTGTGCTAAATAAAATTTGAGATTTTGTTATCTTCATGTCGAAATGCAAAAACGACCTAATTATCATTTGATTCAAAGAACTATTCATACAAAACATTAATGGTTGGTTGGTGTCTTTATCAGTAACATGAACTATTCTCTTCTTAAAAACACTGGAAAGATGTTATGACAATAAATAACATAGGGTGATTGGAAACTTTTCGAGATTTATCGCTACAAAACAGGCTATTTGCTTAGATTTATAAATCAAAACATAGCAGATTGAAAAATTAAACAACAGAATTTAACTGATGGATGGTGACTAGCAGTGGAATCCAGGATAACGCACATTTCGTCCTATTTGGGACTCGTCAACTGGATGTGCCTGCATTCCCCAGTGGGTGCCAATGTTACCACCGAGGCTCGAACCTAGTGTCCATAGTTTCAAAAGCGAAACCCTTATCCACTAGACCACTTGGGCCAGGAGAGCCGCCTCATATGCAACGGGTCATATTAATTGTTTAATTGAATTTTACATTTCCCCGTCGATTGACTGAACCGAAGTGCTCGGTCTTCAACCATATGTAATATTCGAAATGTTTATAGTATTCCTTTGCACACACGTAACACACAAATCGAACACATGTCTGTGCATAACATCAAAACTACCTAGATAAATTCTAACATACAACAGACTATCCTTGTTCTATCCTCTCAAAAAGGCGTAAGGAACACTGTATAACAATACAAATGTTACATATTTTTATTTTAAAGGTATATTGCAGAGTTCGCTTTGTACTGCTGGAATATCTCTTAAGCCGTCTGCAATAAATAAGCAATGATATGGCATAGACTAAACAGCTCCCGGTACGCGTGATCCCCACTTCGACACAAGTAAAAATGAAGCACTCCTGATGCAATATGCTGCATATAGCAGCAGTATAAAATCATGAAGATGTAGTTTTATATGCTTAAATTTGAAGTCTGAAGTCTAGATATGTCTATGAAGTAACATTTACTGTCACAAAATAGCAAGACCTCCAAAACTGTTTAGATAAATACCTCATAAAATTTTAAAAATTTATAATATACTAACAAATATCTAAGAAATAGATACTTCTTATGTTTGAAAATCCCCATTGAATCATATGAGAAAAAGAAGACGTTCAGCGAAGAGACTCTTTTCGGAGAATTTATTCACATAGCTGTAGAATCGCATTTATATATACAAGTATTGGTTTGTAGGTATTTGGTAGATTAGTTACAGGATTTCATCATGAGCTGACATTGGTTAAAGAACCATTGGAAAACCTAGGAGTACTGGACAGTTGTTTCGCCCTCGTTTGAGACTCTTCAGCAGTACGCACCCACCGGAGTTCGAACCCAGAAGCTTCTGGTTACAAGGTTATGTTATGCAGCCCTGAACTCTGCATAGAGAAGAAATTCGTTCAATCACTACACTTGCAATGGAATTAATCTATCTTATTACCTGAAAAGTAAATTCTATATAATCTTTTTTTCTGTCTCTTCATTAGTATTATTTTGTCTTCTCAATTGTAATATTTTACATTTTCAACTTTCTTGTTCTCTACCCCCACCCGATTTAATTTCTACACCACACTACCAACGTTACTGACTTGACCAACGCTCAATTTCTAGTCATTTATGTTACGTCATCCAACTTATTTGCTCAATTTCAGTTCTAATTTAAATGGCATATTATCTACCCCACTTCTACTTAGTCTCTACCTGTAATTACCTCTGTTGCTACCCTGACCTAAGTTGAAACATTTTAGTCAATTATATTACGTCATTTAACCTTCTAACTCAATTTTACTTTAGTTGCTGTCTGATTAACCTTGTTTCTATATTAGATCATTCTTGTATTACCTAATTAGTTATCTAAACTTGACGAACCTCATGTACACACACACACAAATAATTATATATAAATACGATTGTACAGCTATGTGAATGAATTTGCCGAAAAGAGTCTCTTCGCTGAACGTCTTCTCTTATGTTATTAAGCAACGCTACAATAAGCGTCGTTGTTGAGATGTAGCGTGTGCTAATGACAATATTTATAAGGAGCCATTACAAATTGAAATCAACATTTTAAGATAATGGTTGCAAAGGTAGAAGTGTTTATTCCTCATATATGGATTTAGTTTACGTTGTAGACATGAAACAATCTCACTGAACAACTTGTCTTATTGTTTAACCTTGGGCTAATCGCCAATCAGTGAGAACAGTTTATTATCCACTGACCTAGCCGACTTGTAATGTGGTTAAAAGTGTATAGATATGACGTGTTTCCCCGTAACAAGAGAGTCCGTTACAAGTCTTCTTATCTTCCGACAGTACAAAGGTATGTCATAAACCTACTCGTTTGCAATCAATTTTATCCTTACAAGTGATGTTAAAGCATACCTCTAAATTCGCCAGTTTCAATGAACTCATCGTGTTAATCTGTAGCAGTAAAGGTTGTTTGACAGTGTCATATCTAAGCAGCAGCTAGTTACAGAGTTTAACGATATTAAAATTACATATTCATTATTTCATGATAGTATGGCTTATTGCATTAGAAATGCTTCATCTTTACTAGTTTCCAATTGGTGCTCATTCAAACTGGTGTATTTTAGTTGGGGGTCGGGGGAGGTTATGTTTTAAGATCACTCACCCTGAACTAAAAGTGACCAGCACTTTCCTTTAAATAGCCACGAAAGTTCTTAATGATCAATGAAATCGATCAAGTCTTCATGAAATGAATCTATGCCAAAGTGAAGGAACAGGTTTTAGAAGGAATAAACCATTTGAGTGGAAAATATCACCCTTCAATCATTCCTTTCTTCTTATAGTCGCAACATTTCAACACAATCACGTTAAAACAAAAACTCTTGCAACCAAAAAAACAAGTAGACAGTGTACCGCAGTCAGACCAGGCGGGTAACATTGTTACGAAGGTGACTGAGTCTTAGAACGATGAGTGGTGCTTGAATCTTGAAAAGACGAATGAACCAAGAATTTAGGCTTTATTCAGTTTACAATGAAGCCGGAATGGCTTAAACGTATAAAGGAAAAAAAGTGTTAATAGCGGTAGAGATATGAACATGATTAGATACGTATTATGAGAAAAGTTCACAACATTCACTGCGGCTTGAAAAGGAATGAGACATTATGTCACGCTTCTCTGGTACGCAAACTGTAAGGCCGTACACGTTGTTTTTCCAAAAGAATACGCCCGTTGTTCGTTTCAGTTGTATTTTCTTCACGAAGAATATTAGGATCAGTGGTCGCATTCCCATTTACTTGTTGTGCTCAGGAATTGCGTCGCCCTCCGGTATTGAATTTTCAACTTGATCAATATCTTCGCCTTTGGGTGCCAGATGATAAAGAGCAACCGTATCTTCACGTCCATTACCGAAGCGAACGTGAGCAAATTGCGGGTTACAATTCAATAGCTCCACCTCTTCAACCAGGGGATCGAATTTGGACTGACGAACACTCCGCCGGAGAGGTACTAGTCCTGGTACAGTGAGCCAAGTAGGAAGAGTTGTCCCAGATGTCGATCTTCGGTTATAGGTAAACAGTCTTTCGTGTGGAGTGGCATTCGTTGCAGTACAGAGCAAAAAATAACGCCGGGATTTTATCGCGATCGGTTTACAGTCTTTTGAAAGATTTTCAAACAGAGTAGGCAGGTCGACGCGAACACAAGGTAGACCACAGAGAGAAAAAGGCGGAATCTCAATGTGTTTGTGAAGTTTTAAAAAATCATGTCCAAGAAGGACGTCTGCACATAAATTATGAAGAATGGAAAATTTGAATAGATCATAAGTGTGGTTTTTATAGCAGATGGATAGAAAACAATGTCCTTCAGTATGACTAGTAAGATTCGTACTCGCCATTGTGATTCTGTTTCGAGACTTATGGACTTTCCAGTTATACTTACGAACAACTGAGGAAGAGATGTAGCTCTCACTGCTTCCGGTATCCACTAGAGCTTGCATTGATTTCCCATTGACAGTAAGCTGCGTAACAGCATCAGTGAGACTTTGAGGTGCTGAAGCCACAACGAGAGATGAAATTATAGAGTTAACTGAAGATGGACCTTTTTTCGTAGATGGCGCAGACCTGCAAACCTTCTGAAAATGTCCTTGCTTGCCACAAGCTTTGCAAACTGCATCACGGGCGGGGCATTTGGAACGAGGATGTCTACGATTACCACAGAAAAAGCATTTGGATTCAACGGCAGCAATGGTTGTTTCATTGACGGAGGGTGTGGAATCTGATGAATGAGGTACATCATGTAAAGAAATGGACGCGCAAGGTGTAACAGGATTGTTGTATGACTGCGATTGTTGATGTGCCATCTCTAGAGCTCGTGCTTGATCGTATGCCGCTTGAAAAGTTAAAGTACGCTGTTCTAATAGCCTCTGGCGTATCATCGAAGACTGTATACCTGAGATGAATGAATCACGTAGAGATTCGTTACGATGTTCTTCGGCTGTAACTGCCCTGAATGAACAATCTGTAGTCAGCGACTTGAGTCGACGAACAAACTGATCCAGATTTTCGCCAGATTCTTGTTTACACGTTGCTAACAAGTGTCGAGCAAACACTTCGTTGCAAGGCTGCATGTAGAGACTCTTGAGAGTGTCGATAGCTTCTTCGTATGTTTTGCATTCAGAAATGCATTCGTATACAGAAGTAGAAATATGATTGAAGAGAATATGTAGTTTCGAAGGATTTTCGGATCCCATTGATTCAATGAAGTAGGAAAAAGTCGCAAACCAGTGATCCCACTTCTTGGCAGCTCCAACTGCGTTAGGTTCTACGTCGAACCGATCAGGTCGGAAAAATCGTTCCATGAATATTGTAAAATGAATAAATTGTTACGAAGGTGATTGAGTCTTAGAACGATGAGTGATGCTTGAATCTTGAAAAGACGAATGAACCAAGAATTTAGGCTTTATTCATTTTACAATGAAGCCGGAATGGCTTAAACATATAAAGGAAAAAAAGAGTGTTAATAGCGGTAGAGATATGAATATGACTAGATACGTATTATAAGAAAAGTTCACAACAAACATACTATCCTAAGTTACTCAAAGTCTCCTCCCACACTCTCGATTATATCTTACACAATTTTATTAAAAATTACTCTTATTCGTCTCCTTATCCCGACAGCAGAAAACCCTTACCTTGCTACAATAAGCTAACACGACAACATGCCACCTACAGGCAGTAGTGCTAGAATATCGACTAGTATTTATACGCATTCATCTACGGATAGGGATAAAAGTAATCTCAAGGTGTTCCCCAGCATAGTATAACAAACGATGCAATAATAATTCCAGCGGTGTAAAAGCATCGATAAAAAATATCTTTGAAACAACCTAATGTAATGTTAGAAACGATTATTATTATTATTATATGCCTCCTTTAAACAAATACGCAATACAAAATCCACTAAGACAAGGTACCATTTATAGGCAGGCAAATTTCGTAATAGGCATTTTCCTTTCTAAATATCAAAATAAAAGCAATTTAAAGACAAAACTATCATTGATCCGTGTTCATATATAGTTTTTTGTTCTACCTATCATCTGCCAAAAAATAAATAAATATCAGTTAGAGAACCATTGAAATAAAACAGTAGGGAGTACTGGACGGCTGTTTCCTCCGTCCTAGTTTGAGACTCATTGATAATACACACCCACTGGGTTTCGAACCCAGGGCCTTCTAGTGAGAAATCGTGACTAGTGGGATTCATCCAGTCTGAAGTGAGGATGGAGTTCCCACCGATGATGCTAGTTGGTGGTCGTAATGAAATCACGAATTGATAGGAGTCAGAATTCATGGGCTGACCATTGAGTCAGGTCCTTCCCAGTGGCTGAATAGTCTGTGAGCTTTCCTTGTAACCGCAACGTCATGCATTCAAAACCCAGTGGGTGCATACACCCGATGCGTCCCAAACTAGGACAGAGGAAACAGCTGTCCAGTACTCTTTACTGGTTATCAATGGTTTCCTAACTGATATCAATTCATGGTCTAATCTGAAACATGGATTCCTTACAAACAAATTCTTAAAAATAAATTAATTAAAAGTAAACTAAACTGAACTTATCTGGAGGATTTAACCATGAGCTGACATCAGTTAGAGAATCACTGGAAAACCTGCGGGGAGTACTGGACAGCCGTTTCATCCTAGTCTGGGACTCTTCAGAAGTACGCACCCACCACAGGGGTTCGAACCCAGCGCCTCCTAGTTACAATGTCTTCTTCGATGAGTTACTGCCTCGTCTTCGACCTGCTGTACCCTACTGGTCACGGCTTCCCACTAGAACCCCAGGTCGATTGCCTGAATAGAGCCAGTCGCTAATGAGCATCAGATTAATTAATAAATAAATTAATAATAATAAATTAATTAATAAATTAATCTGATGCTCATCAGCGACTGGCTCTATTCAGGCAATCGACCTGGGGTTCTAGTGGGAAGCCGTGACCAGTAGGGTACAGCAGGTCGAAGACGAGGCAGTAGCTCATCGAAGAAGACATTGTAACTAGGAGGCGCTGGGTTCGAACCCCTGTGGTGGGTGCGTACTTCTGAAGAGTCCCAGACTAGGATGAAACGGCTGTCCAGTACTCCCCGCAGGTTTTCCAGTGATTCTCTAACTGATGTCAGCTTATGATGAAATCCTCCATACAATCAAACAAAATCCCTACAAAACCTACAAACTTGAAAATTAAACTGAACTTACTTTAATAAATCGTTCATTTGAATAAATCATATTTAAATAATAAGATATTCTAATAATTTTACACCATAATTCAATAGTTGTCTTGTTTAAATGCTTAGAAAGTTGTTGACATACTTTCTTCTCTTTATCATCAATCATCACACTGTTGTTGGAGGAGTGTTTCTGATTTAATTTTTTAACAATAGATGTATATGACTTGTCGTTATCCTTAGAATTTCGACTGCCACTTTCGTTTTCATCATCATCATCATCATCCGCATCCTTATGATGAGTATCACTGTCATCATTTTCATCTAAATTTAAATAATTCCATATTTTCTCGAGTAAATCATTATAAGTTTGATGAATCGATGAAGAGGAAGACGAATAAGATGATGAATACGAGTCTAAACGAATATTTAATTGATTATTTGCTTGTTCACTGACTAATTCTAATGACTCCAAGTGTAGTAATGCTCGATGGCATTCAAGCTGATAGGTGAAATCGCCTAATCTCTCTTTAGAATGTTTGTTATTAGTATATTCTGAAGAGGAATGCAATTCATAGGCTTCTCGTAATATCTGTAATGAAGAAGATGTATGTAAATAAAAATAAGTAAACATATGAATAAGTATATAAGTAATTGATATTATAAGTTAATTACTTGTTTTAGTGAAGACTAGTAATGAAATCCAGCAGGTGCGCTTCGTCCCACTTGGGACTCATCATGCAGATCTTTCTGTTCCCTTCCTAGTGAATAATAGTCTTTCTCACCGAGAACTGAACTCAGCACCGATCGATCCAAATGGAAAAACGTTACCCAGTCGCTCGGAATCTACTGCTATCCATCCCCAGTTAAAACAAGTAATTTCGAGTTATTATTTAATTGCGATAATATCGAGGCATTTGTTCAAAATAAGGTACAGATATTACGTTATTATTGGCCTCATCTGGTCCCACAACTGCTCATAGTCTTTCATCTCTTACTCGCACGATCTGCTTCCTGTCACTTTAGGACCTATGTCCGACTTATTGTTTTCTATTCGGCTTCCATTCAACAGCCTGCCTACTGCACGATATTACTCAAGGATCTCCTCAACATGTGCCCAACTCACCTTCATTTCCTTAAAATTAAAAACTGTGAATAAATAATATCAAATAAGGCCCATGTTATAAAGTATTATCGTTATGAAGTATGTATGTTATTAAACTCTTCTAGCCTGATAAAAAAGGTATTTGCAGTCAAATACCAACGATTAGAGAACACTGAAAACAACTGTTTCACAATCCGTTTAAATTACACCAAGCGTTCACGGACAATGTCGACATTTCGAGTTTGAAGTTTGCTGATTTGATCATCTGATTGATTTCAAAGCAGTTTTTAATGAACAAAGAAGAAATTTCCAGTCCCGATACATATCCACAACTTTTTAATTTTGTTACAACCTGATAATTACGGAACCAGAGGAATAGCTGTTAAGGTTTGACGTGTCTGATTATCAGCACCTTCGTAGAGTCACCTACACTTGGGGTTAAGGTGATTCGCGGAGATTTATGTATGCAAAACAGGTAATTTAATTGATTAAATTACATATACTTAACGATTGATCTGTCAGCCTTACAAATGCTCGTCAGCTGATCACTGTTATGTATAATGTTGGTTGAAATAGAATAACTTTGATAGAAAGCGAAAAGTGGTCAGTCGAAAATGAAACACATGATTCGTGGAGTTATTGACTATTCATCTAAACCATTTAGGTTGTCTGGTTAGGATCCGTGGTACAACACAAACGCATAATTGTAAATTTTTGATGATTTATATCAGCGTTGATAATAGTAGCGAAGATGCATTCATGATTCATCTTCACCCTACTCAGAACATCAAATTTCTTGGTGGTAGTTCACAACTTCTAATTAATTCATGAATAAAACTGAGTGAAAATGTTCAGAGAGCATTCAACTTTCATCTGGTGGGTAACGGATTCGAATCCCGCCTCACCTACTTTTCAGCCTGCCTAATATGGTAGTATCATCGGCCTTCAGACATTAAGTGTAGCTGACATCCTGGAATATGAATGATCTCCACCTGTTAGCAAGTTTAAGCTACAGCAACTAAAAGCATTTGATTGTGATCGCTTTAACAAATCATATCCCTTGAACAATAACTATACTGAAGGATCTGGAGATTTCCACAAAAAAGGCCCCGTATCCACAAAGTGCCCAGTAATTGTGCTTAAGGTGTCAGCTTTTTGGAATGTGTTCGAAAAGCCAGGTAGAAGCCCTTCTTTTTGTCCTTTTAATTCACTTTCTACCACAGGTGCATCTATCCATCTAAAATCAGTTCATTATGTATATGGTGCTATAGGGAAACGTCTATCTTTCTGCACTTCTTTAATCCCTAGTCAATCCTTTAGCATACTGCTTATCCTTTTTCAGTGGAAGACAAATAAAGGCTTTCTATTCCTTGCAACAAATGAGTATTTCGTTTTCTCGACTTTCTGTATACCATACTTTAGGATCAATCTCTTACACGAAATCCATTTTCTTAGAGGCACTTATCAGCAAAGCTAAATCATTCCAGCTTCTTGGGTGAAGACAACTTTCTAGCTCTATACCCTCACTGGTCCATGCTTATAACTGATAGGATAGAAGTTATTGCGATGAAGATGTTGTCCAGTGTAAATTTTCTTTTCAAGGATAAACTATACGATCACACCATCATTCCTTCTTCTCACATTAAGGTCTAATAAAATTGAAACTCGTCTTCATTCTCATATTCCATGGGTGAATTTAATATCGGTATGAGTCTCTTTTAGACAGTCAAATAACTCAGATACATGATTCATATTGTAACAAATAACAAACATATTCATTAAAGTATCGGCGATAATAAATTATCTTTAAACAATTATAGAATTCAAACGTTTCTACCTAAGATAACCCAGGCAGATATCGATTAGAACAAGTCTCAGAGGCGTACGCATCCTAATCTCATAAGTAGGTCACAGTACATGTAGTTATTTAAACTTGAAGTGAATATCTTTCATGTAAAGAAACGTAACAACAGAAGATAAGGGTCAGGCAACAGATCGTTTATTAAGGAAATCAACATATATTTATACATTTTTATGTACATTATTATTAGCGTTATTGTTAGCAGAAAAACAAAGTCTTCTGATTTGTTGTTTCTCACAGAAAGCTAATCTTTCATCTCTTTGTGGCTGTTTCTTGAATGTCAGATCATCTATATGCTAACTGTATCCGCCTACGCAAAGTCTTTGTTCCTATTTTTCTCACGATCAATATTTAGGGCATAAACAGTGACGTAAATTAATGTCTACCAACTTTGGCTAGCAGCTAGCTCTCACCAAAGAAATAGCAGTAGTAGTAGTAGTAGTCGCTTCACCTCCTTTTTTTGTAGTGCATAATAAAAAGAAAGAGCATGGTCTGTCTCACACTGTCTTCGTAATTCCTGTTTAATTTGCTGTCCTTTCGGCTAGAGATAAACAGCAGGTTGCTCTAAGCTATTCACAAATACATTAGAACAAATATATCCAACTACTAGTTCACTCATAATGCTACGTCTTTGGAATAACTTAACAACACGCTGTTTACTTTTAGCCGACCTTTTTACCTTGCTGTTTGATAAGTAGGCATGTGAAACGTGAGGAATTAGGCCTATCAGACAGTAATTTCAGGTCGGATTTCATACAACTTAGTTAGCTGTGTCATGGATAAAAAAAAAAATTAACAGTGCGCCACACTTTTTGTTTAATGGCTTACAAAATCGCCTGACTGTTTTTATATTACGATATTTAGTGCAGTTTTAACACATGATTTACTGAGGGTAAAACTAATGCCTAAAATAATGAGGTATAGCTTCACTACATTTTCTAATGTGTATCAATTATAATAATAATTATTATTATAATACGTCCGTGGTTTAGGATCGTTTTTGCATATTCAGTTTTACATAAGCCATATATTAAATGCGAGTTCGGTGGGCAGCTGTGGATCGCTATGAGATTTAAATTAACAATAGTAGGGTTGCAGTGAGAGCTGTCTGCAAGCCAAAATTGTAGATAACAATTTACGTCAATATTTACTTCCTGAACCGGGGTCATGGGAAAAAAAAGCAATAACAAAGCCTAACCTTGAGGAACTCAACAACCAATCACAGCAGACTTGATGTGTGCAAGTACGATTCGCAGATGTATGGTTTAACTTTCTAAGAAACGGTCACAAGCAGTACAGAATAACCTTGAGCATGAAAATAACCAATCAGAAGACGTTGCGTCTCTGCTGAAAATAATGCACATAAAAATCTATATCTGTTATCTCAATAAACGAGCTGTTGCCTCGTCCTTGTCTTCTATCGTTACAGGTTTACTTATACATTCCTTTACTGAATGAATCCCAAGGCTCAAGTAGTGACAAGATCTCAACTTATTAATTCGCTGAACCAGTGACACTGTTAGTCTCCGCTTATTGTTATCATTATCAAGTGTTGGTTTGCAGGCATTTGATTGATTGCAGATTTCATCACGAGTTTGCATCAATTAGAGAATTATCGGGAAACCTGGCAGTCTTAGACATCTATTTCATCCTCTTTATTTGGCACTCATCATCAGTATGCACCAACTGGGGTTCGAAACCAAGATCTTCCAGTTGCTAGGCGAGCTCATAGACCATTCAGCCACTGGGATTCTATCTTATGGCCTATGAATCCCTACTTCTACCAATTCGCAATATATACAGCGTAACTGCAAACCAATGTCGTCGACAAGTTAATGTTCACCAAAGTGGACCACGCTGGTAACAACTCACTAGTGGCTTAATGTCCAATAAGGTCACCTTGTGACCGTAAGGTCCTGGGCTCGAACCCCAGTGGGTGCGTACTGCCGATGATTCCCAAACACTAGGATGAAACAGCTGGCTATCCAGTACTTCCTGGTTTTAAATGGTTCTCTAACTGATATCAATCCGTGATTAAATCGCAAAATGACGAGTTGAAAACTGTTGGTGCTATTGAGATACTCTTAGTCTGGAATGAAACTCTCTCCCAATAAGATTAAATCCAATAGCCTACATCCTCATTCTGGAAAGTACCAAATGTGTTGCATTCTTCAAAATTTGCTGCAAACCAGGTTTTCATCATTCTAACTTTAAAAATCAATTTTTTTTACAATAATATCTATCAACAAATCTTATACATAATAATAGGTCAGTCAAGTAATCATTCATGAAGAAGTCAATCTTAATCATCCGGAATAGACATTTTCTGTACCAGTGTCTAAGAGACACACTTATCATGTCTGGATTGATGATACTATAGTCAGCTGCCAAAAATGTAATAGGTGGAACGGGATATGAACTTGTGACCCGTCGCCAGTAAACCGAGTTCCTTTATGTCAATAAACCATATCTTGTCTACAAGTATTACACACTTGGTCAGTGTAGCAGAATATAATTCTACATTAGATAAGTTTATATGATATAAGACACAGTGACGGATGACGTTTTCAGTGCGAAGAATTGCTAAAATAACTAACTATATCAATGTGTTTTTACAGTACTTTATGCCTTTCTCTATATAGTCCTACTGCTTGTTGTTTTCTATTGCAATTATCCATATATCCGGTAGAGGTGGTGTTGATTCGATGAACAGATTTAGCGACTAACCTCTCTCTCTCTCTCTACCTAACTAAATTACCTTTTAATACTTTTTACCCTGCTCCACCCTATTGTGTGATTACATGCAAGTGAATCTATTGCAATGACCCAGCTGTTTTATACGTTATTTAAATTAGTAGAGTCAGTCATTTTAGGCCTATCTGAATTGCTACAGGTCCGATAATCTAATTGATCCAGGTCTACTAGTTTGACCTAACAGTCAGTGCATGGTATTTACTAAATTATATTATGTTTTCTAACTGAATCTATCGGGTGCTTAAGCCAATATAGTTAGTCTATGAATGAACTGGTTGGTTGAAATGACATACCTTAATTTTAACCTTAAAAATTCCTTACCGATTAAATAATTTTCATTACTACTTTTACTTTTCTTATGGATCTTCAAACATTTTCGAATAAAATCTGATGGGTAGGTGGTATTCACTATTGATATTTTCTTTATTTGTTTGATTTTATTCTTTAAATTTTCTGATTTACTAGTTACGCTGCTGGTCAGATATACAGATATATACATATATATTTACATTCAACTAGTCCTATCTTTAGCAATTCTGAGTGGGATGTACCTTTTAGAGTCTATCGGTCCCCTAGTACCTTACCGACAGTCCAGCAAAGCTAATAAAGCAGGAATCAGGGTGGCATTCAAATCTACAAACTCACTCAGGGATAACCTCTGTAGGTTGAAGGACCCTGTTGACCCAATTAGACAAAATAACATAATTTATAAAATACCCTGCAATGACTGAGTCATGTCAACTATATAGGTCAAACTAGTAGATCGGGGGTAGTCAGACTGTTGGAACATAAGACTTTAGCGGCTAAGGTAAGAATGGTTGACCCGAGAAGATAAGTAATTTAGAAAAAAAGCTCAGCACTGCATTGTACTACATGCATTAACACACAACCACACAATAGGATGGAAGAGGGTTAAAATTCTAAGGAGTAATCTATGTAAGTGGAGAGATAGATTGATTACTGAATCCTGGTTCATCGAGTCTACACCCAACACATGCAACAGTAATGACTCACTGCAATTACCAGAGATATGGAAGATATTATTACCACCAGTCAGTCAAATCAGAGGACGATAATAAATAATCTTAAAATTCTATTTCAATTCAAGGACATCACAACATTCTAACAAGTTACTTATTTTGACTATAAAAACACTCGTCTTATTTCTCATCTGATTGTATCTGATCAATAATACTCATATTATTATTATTTCTGAATGTACATTATCACATATTGATTTTTATCCAAATATCTAGTCAATTTCACTCATGTATATAAATGAAGAAAAAAAGTTGTGTGAGTGAACTTGATATGATTATGAGTGGCAATAGTTTGCACTCGAAACGTCATCAGTTAATATATAACACTGTGTGACTTGTCAGAATGAAATCTTATCTATAATGGAGTTATACTCTACCACAGTACCCAAGTTTTATACTTATATCAAAGCTAATTCATTCTGTTCACGTTCTAACTCGAAAGTGAATTCTCATCCTACCTACTAGCAAGTTTATATCGGTGAAGAACTTGATGGTATATTCAGACTTCAACACAGTGAATGTATCATGTACATTATATGATTATTATTATTCTCTTGGGTTCTGAGTGGAACATAAAACTTCAACAAGACATCTCCACTTTTTCTATTTTCACCTGTCCTCTTCACCTGGGTCCACGATTTACCATACATATATGCTGAGCAATCGGCTCTTGGTTGATTTGTTACCTCCCAGAGTTTCTTGTTGCTGATTCTTTCCGACCAGCGCGTCATTTGATCTTCAGTGTGGAGCCAGCAAAGGCAGACAGCTGTTGATAAAAGTCTGTAACCTGCTGTTAGAAATCCTTTTCGTAAGATGCAGTGCAAGTTTCTCACCTGTATAGAAAAACTGACCGACTTCACATTTGTATTAAAAATTCTGATCATGGTGATTGACACTGGCTGTTGTTGTTAATGCTGTTGATTGGTTATCTTTGTCGCCTCCGCTCCGTCTTCTCTATTTGTTCACCTGCGGTCCTGTCTACACTACCTGCCTGCAACAGAACCAAGGAGAAGGATTAAATGCTATAAAAGCTACAAATTCCCAACTATCCATAAATACATCTGCAATTATTGGGGATAATTGATCATCCCATTAACTTTCAAATAACCACATGCGATTAGTGGGGGTGGGATAGAGTAGAAGTGTTAAAAAGTAATTTGGTTAGATGGAGAGAATCAACATCAAACAAAATAACTCAGCGCTTAAAAAGTCACAGCAAGGAGTACGACGATAGCGAATACTTATATATATATATATATATATATATATATATATATATATATATATATATATAATCACTCAGCATCAACAACAAAATTCGGATCTTCATTACAAACGTCAAGTCAGTCAGTTCTTCTATACGGATCAGAAACTTGACAGGCGGGTCACAAAGAATATTTCCAACAGCCTGTTGCAGACCTTTATCAACCAACAACTGTCTTCGCTGGCTCTATACTGAAGATCAGATGGCCGGGCCGGAAAGAATCGCAAACAAGAAACTATGGGCACAAACAAACAAAACAAGAACCAATCGCCAACCAACAAATATGCAGGAGAATGTGGAGATGGGTTGGACACTCGCTGGGGAGGCCGCCGGGTGACATCGCGCGCGCATCAGGCCATTGCTCGAGTGGAACCCGAAAGGGAGGAGGTGAGTGGGACGTCAGTGCAAGGGTAACATGGAGGAGATCGTGTGAAGAGGAGTTGAAACAGTATGGAATAACATGGAAGGAGGTGAAAAGTACAGCAGAAGACAGAAGCAAGTGGAGAGATGCAGTTGAAGCCATATGTTCCACTAGGAACCCAAGAGAATAATAATAATATATATACATATATAATATTCTATAATAACAGAAATATGAAAAATTGTAAAATAAATTTTTTAAACCGAAAAGAAGTAACGCGATACCTTAGAAAGATTTGGACGGTTATCTGATGAATTTGATGGACGTAAAAATTTCTTTGTGTACTCAAAACCAGGATCATTTTCAGCTAGAACAGACATTGTTTTACGTCCTATCAATTCGAGGACATCAACACTACCTTGGACTAAATTTAAACTCTACAAGAATGAATGGAAAAAAAATCCAAATAAGAATAATAATGAAGTGATACTTTTATGAATATGAAAATATATTGAATAGCTGCATAAAGTATTACATAAAAATGCCTGATATCAATCAGTCTAAATACTTGGATCTTGGATACCATATCACAATCGGACTTTTCATTCTAACACAAAAGGATGATTAAGGATCTAAATGTTTGAACTCAATTACTCGGGGAACAGATCTTTTTCGTATTACACTATGAGTTACGCTTTGTGTTTAAGGAGAGATGATTCTAACCACTTTCCTGTGATGAAATGGATGACTGCAGGCTTTAAACCATACTCTCCGACGCCCAACACCCCCTCTATTCCTAACTCTCTCCTCGTATCTCATCAGGTAGAACCAGAAATCAGTACAAAATAATATATGCTCGTACAACTAAGTATAGGAACTCAACAATACCATATTTGGCCCATGTTCTAAGTGACAGAGACAATGTTAAGCGCGAAACCTATGACTTGCTTTGTTGTTAATAACATAATTTCGGCTCTTTTATTTTTCCTTCTTATTTGTATTCTATAGTGAACACCTTCTTAAACATACTTAGCTACCCAAATTATTAACATTGGCTTACTTTTTTGTACTTTATTCTATTCCTTCTTTTGTGTATCTAATGGTCACGACTATAATATCACTACGAGTATTACAAAATTGTCCTGTCATTAACCATCATGTAATATTAGTTTTGTGATTGTTTTTTTTTTGTGCGGCAATATTAACTGACAATCTTGGTTGTGAGCGCCGTTATCACCATCTTAAAATTTTGTATTATACAGGATTACTCACACTACCACTGCAAACACCGCATTAGAGCTGACAATAAAAAACCCTGAAATGTTTATTTTCTGATTGATAAGTGTTGTTGAATCAAATTAACTGATAATCATAGCGATAAACATTCTTAATTACATTTCAAAAACTTCTTGTATGATTATAGCTGTTACTGTTCACCACGCATACACATATCATAGCTTCCACTACCCAATACTGAGATATTATTTAAAATATTGTTTATTTTCCATGCTAATTCTTGGTATTTTTTGGCATATTTTTGCTATTTCGTTTTTTTTGTTTTGTTGTTTTTGTTGTTTTTTATATTTATTTTTTGAAATACTCCATTTAAATGTTTGATAAAATTAGATGCAATATTGTATCACTAGTACTGTTTCTGGAATAAAGCAAATTATTATTATTTAAACCAAATAGAGAGATGTAAACTGCTACGAATTAATGGTTAGCGATTGTTGATGATATGATATATAAAGCTGAAAATCGTTCTCAATGGCGTAGATGCACTCTCATACTTTGTAATCTTTCACATCTATTAAAACCCTGATTTTTCTTCACGTTATCATTCTGTCTTCAGTAGATTTATGCACACTAGAATTATTTTAAATTTTTTCTTCTTATATTTACCTTTGTATGCTACATCTAGGGTGAAAACTAAAACAAATGCAATTCTGTGCAACGTTCTATGCTAAAACTCAGTCAACAAGGAGTCGGACTCGAGACCTATTGGAGAAAAGTCGAGTGCTTAAGTCAGTGATCCACATCTCCAAAATGGCATAGAGACGTAAGCTTAGGTTGGAGAGAGCAATGATAAACCACGGAGCACTAAACAGCTGTTTCATCTGGGAATCTTCATCAGTGCACACTTACAATCCCACCAGGGGTCAGACCCAGGACCTTATTCCTACAGAAACCCATAATCTAAATATCAATATCCAAGTAACTGATGATCGCTGGATGGATGGCCTAAAGTTGAAGTGAGAAGTCATGACTGGTGAAGTTCGCCATGTCAAGGTGGAGTGGATGCTGATCGATGGCATCGATTGACTTTAGCGCCACATCACGAACTGACAAAGTTCAAATTCATAGGTCGCTGAATTCCATCCCAAGTGGCTGAAGTTCCTGGGTTCGATCCTTCGTGAGGTCGCGAGTGTGTACTGATAGAGTCCCGAAATGGGACGAAACAGACTTCCAATGCTCCTTGGTTTTCAATGATATCTGTAACCGATACTGGTTCATGACAAAATCTCTATTGAAATTGATTCAAATCCCTACGAAAACTCGTAATCTAATTAAAAGTAAAACGCAATCTGAAATTAATCAGCAATACTTACAGTTGCTTGTAACGAAGAAGTAAGCTGACTGAATGATGAAAGACCACTCCAACCCCATGAGAAATTATTATTCTCAGATTTCTGTTGTGACACTACATTATCACGACATTTTTGTTCATTAAGTGAGGAATCAACTCCTTGATTTACGTCTTCTTGAATGTTAGTTTTTTCCTCAGGGATATTGTTATCCAACTTTGATTTTGATATATCTTCTGTTTCCACTGGACTGTCTACTTCCCAACCATCATTCTGATTACCGTTTTCATCGTCATCACCATCATCATCATTAGTCCATGATGTACCCCAAACATTATTCCATGCATCTGAGATTGCTTTTCTTTCCAACTGTTCTTCAGTTTGTCTTTCAGCTCTTCTCTTAAGAGTTTCTTCATTCACGCTAGTATCTGATGGATTCAGCTGTATAACATCCCCCAATACGCCAACAAGTGAACTCAATCCATCACCTAGACCACGGGCAATATTTGTAGCAGTTGACGCGATGAAATCTAATTCTGGGATAGGCTCAACTTTTGACAGTTTGTCTATAACAGAATGAATTTCCATAGAGGATGTGAATTGTTTTGAATCCCCTGAAGTATCTACGGATATCGGTGTCATTTCTTCGGGTAAACTTTTGACTCCTTCATTGGGATTGTTGGAGTCAAATATCTGCTCGCATGGTTCATCAGGCTGTGGGACAATTAAATCAATCACAACATCTTTCAATTCCTTTGTCTCAGATTTACTGACCTCAGGTGGTGTCTCAATTTTTTCAGAGGAGGGTGATAATACAGTTTCAGAATCCATTTTTTTATCTTCACTCCCAACAATTTCGGAAACTGAAGGAATATCTTCTTTAACCACTGACTTTGAGTCGATCTTTAGTGAACCTTCTTTTACCTAAGTTTTTACAAAACAAAATATTTGTGACTTGAGAAGTTGTGATGGACGCATATATATATATATTTCAAAATACGCAACCAAATAGTAAATGTTTGTGGTCACTGTGAACTTTTTTAACAGAAAGAGGACTTTGGCTGGATACTGGTTATTAGGTAGCATCATGCGTTCAGTCCTTTGAATTCAGTCAGTCAAAGGACAAAAGTTTCTTTAAAACTGCAGGTACATCTTGCACAAAACCTAGGTTCAAAACTTATTGCCAATTGCCTTCAACCGTCTAATAACAACAAGAAAGAAGACTAATTGGTGGATGGTGACTAGCAGTGGAATTCAGGATAACGCGCATTTGGTCCTATTTGGGACTCGTCATCTGGATGTAACTGACGAGTCCCAAATAGGACGAAATGCGTACCCTGGATTCCACTGCTAGTCACCAACCACCAATTAACCTCTGATTACATGCCCAAACATCGTCGACGCATCTGCACAAGAAGCCAACATGTCAACCTGAGACCAAGCACTTCAGTCTAATCACACGAAGGGAGAATCTAAAATTCAACTAAAGAAAGAAGACTGTTGAAAATCCAACGTAAGGTTATCTCATTTCTCAAAAAAAACATTACCATGTTTTACCAATGGATAGGAATATGGTTCTTAGAAGACGACAAGTGAAAATTATTTCAATGCTCACAAGTGACTGACGGAGTTGTCTAAAGTTCCAGTCAGAATTCATGACCAGTGGGATACACTAAGATTAGTGTGAGGACAAATATTCGCCGATGACAGCTGCACTACATACCGTGAATTGGTAAAAGCTAGACGTGGAAGGTCATCCCAGTGGCTCGGTGGTAGGAGAGCTGTCTTTGTAACATGAAAGTCCTGAAGTCGATCTCCGTTGGAGTCGCGGGTGGATACTGATGAACAGTCCCAAACTAGGATGAAACAGCTGGTTCACTGGTTCTCTAACTGATATCAGTCCAGGGCCAGGCCTAAAACCAATCAAATCTTTATGAACCAACACTTGAAAATCAATAAGAAACTACACACACACACACACACTATGACAGTGCACAAGTTTTACACGCATGTTAATGACGTAAAAGTATTAGCTACAATCTACACAGTTAAACTACACATGAACAAAAAACATTATCTTACTTTCTCACGTTTTTTAGGCGCAGATTTCAACTTTTTCTGTTTCACCTTTTTTTTCTTTTTTAATTCCCCTGAATTTGATTCTTCAGTCAATGGTGACAGTGTATGCTCAGTTGTTTTTGATGCAGTTTCTTCTATTTGACCAGAGTCATTATTATCACGGTCATTTGTATTCGCCGCCTTTGAGATAGTTGACGAAGACTCTTCTTTTATTGGATGACTTTCCTTTATACTACTAGTATTAGTAGTATTAGTAGTAGTACTGGTGCTAGTATGGAAACTTTCATCTGCACTAGCAAATGCATCACTATCATCTGACATAATTGCAGATTCTTGTTTCTTGAATAATTTAGTTATCGGGAACAAAAAGTAATAATAAATGCACAGCAGATAAAAAGTAGTTAAGAAATTATATTGTATGTTATATAATATATTATATTATCATGTACATAAAGCCCACACTTCATTTACAAGGGTTTTTCAGTCCTTTAACATTTCTAGTGGATCATAGGGCTTCACGCTTGAGGTCTGAATTTTAAGTGGCAGTGGTGAAGTTGCTAGCTTCACACCTAACCTTCTCTCTCTACCGGGCTTACTATTGGCTAGGCCTAGGTTTAGGAGTTCGTCAGTCAGGAATCGAACTCTGAACTATATGTGCGGTGAGTGGGCATTATACTATTGATCATTTCTGCCAAAGCACTCAAAGTGAAATGTTATCGCACCAACAACTTGCAATACTACCCAATTGGCAATGAGTTACATTAATTGTGTAAGTGGAGACCAGTGATACTGTGGTGAGAGCTGTCTGCTAGCCGAAATCGGTAGACAGCAATGTTTACTTCCCAAGTCTTGATCATGAGAAAGACAAGAACAAAGACATTGCGTGGACAGATACGATTAGCAGGTATATGATCTGACCTTCAAAGAAACGGACACAAAGGCGTGACAGAATAACTTCCAGTGAGAAAATGACCAATCGGAAGACGCTGTTTCTTTGCTAATAATAATGTACATATAAATATATAATTATCTGTTGATTTTCTGAAAAAACGATATGTTGCCTGGTTCTTGTCTTCTGTCGTTACGATACTACCTAGCTGCTCAAATCTCGATAGGGAGAGAGGGGTTCGAACCTGCGATCCACTAGTTGAAATTCGAATGCCTAGACTAATGAGCAGCTCCACTAATTTGTTATCACACTGTTATTATTCTGAAATGTTTTATTTTCAATCTGCTCAATTTAATGCGATACCAGTAGACGGATTTACTTGAACCACGGAACTATGATATGCTTTTTACTACTTTCCTAAACTTCAAATCATCAAAAATGTAGAAAATAAAAGGCAATTCAGCGAAAATGTTTTCGACAAAATTATCTCCAGAGACTCTACAACCCTATTTATGTTTTTTTTTCGGAAACGTATAGCAGTTCAATATTCAGTAACAGGCGGGTGACATAATCGATATAATTACTTAGAAGTGGCTTCAAAAGTCAAATTAGAAATAAAAATATGGTGTAATACTTAAGGACACAAAGAACTCTGTATACAGGAAATGTTTGTCCAGCCCCTTTTTCTACCACGATCTTAACCGCTTCATTACTAATTTCCGGTAGTTTTTTCTATTTTTTAATTATTAATTCATTATTATCAATCTAATGTATTTCTTCAGTATATTTTTTCACCCTCATCACACTTGTTAAATAGGCACTCAACTACCTTTCTTTTCACTTAATAACAATTTTAACCTTAACAAATGTCTAACCCTTTCTTCCTTTGTGTTGTTGACTACTACGCAGTTTTTAGTTTGGTTTTTGAAGCCACTTCTGAATAATTGTATCAATTGTCACCCTACCCCACCCCTATTACTGAATAATGGACTACTATATGTTTTTGGTAAATACAAATACGACTGTACAGCCTCTGAAGATGTTTTCGTTGATAATGAAAATTTTCTTCACTAACTTGTCTTTTACCTTTTTGATGAATCGAAAATGTGTTTGGACAGAAAACTAAAATCGAGTAGGCAAACAGAATTACTATAATACCTGACATGATTGCATAGCATTCCTGAAGTTTTCATAACTCAAATGTATCAGAAAGTAGGGAAAGACAGCAAAACTAATTAGGAAAATTATATTTCAAGGCCATACAGTACGAAAAATGGGAGGACAAATTTAATAAAAACATAAGATGCAACTGATACGATAGGATGTAACTAATAAAATACGAATAAGTACGACTGTTGTTGATCTTCAACCGAACGATTTACAGTTTACCACCGGAGGTTTCAGAAGTCAAATAAAGTACAGTCAAACTGTCCGCACTTTCATAAATAGCTGTATGCAGCATAAGAAATGTAATCAAGAAGCGATTACTTCCATCAACCAAGGCTGTTGCAACTTAGTTGATACATTTAATTATTTCAACCCATACGATCAGGAAGAGTACTGTTACAGACAAGTCATGAGGCAGTAATTTGAAAGCGTAGTAGTGAGATATCTACTTCAAACATCCGCAGATTATCACTGAGTGTCCAGTAATCTATTCACCTTGTCAGGCCTCTCACGAAACAGGTCTATGTCATCTGTCTACTTTAAATCAAGTAAGATATTAAGCTTCGCTTTTGAAAGCACACAGCTTTGATAGCTACATTCAACAAAATAAGTGTTATAACTTTTATCACAGTACACAAAAGTCATGCGTAATCGAAACTCACCAACTACATGCAAATGTAAATGTTATACGGAATCTCTAACTTATAGAATGGTTGTCACTGGTATTACTTCACTATCCACGCCTTGGTAGATGCAGAACTTGTTTTTGAGACCTATGGGGGGTTTGACAAATGAATGCATAGACAGATCAGTTATAGATTTATAACAGTTGAGATTGACAACTTACACATAAGCTTGGGAAATTCCATTTTAAACAGTCAAGTGAACTAACTGCAAAAATAAAGGTGATCGCTTTACAGAAGTGGATCAGACGACTGATAAAAGTATTGTTCAGTAATTCTTTACTATTAAAACTGAAGTTCGATAATTGCAGAACCGCTAACTACTGTATTCTTGTTTTGGAAAAAAAGGTGTACCAATCAGACTAGCGATCTACACAGTATTTCCCTGTTCTACATATTCCCACACCCAACATTAGGAATTGGCATAGACGACGAATTTATTGTTATGGCAGTTATGTGGTGAATATATTAATAAGTAAAACAACAGGCTGACCAATATTCATAAGTAAGATATGGTGAGTTAAATGTGATCGTAATAGGAGTGTCAAAAGCACAACAACTAGTCTTAACACTATAGGGAAGGACTAGTGATTTATTTGGACGTGAAGTGTACTTGGTAACTGGCCAGTAGGTTACAGCTAGACTCTGTATGTGTGAACTAATCGCTAGGTTCAGGCTAATTCCAAAACGATAATTTGCAAAGAAAAGGTGAAAAACATGACCAGGATATTTTCTCCCACTGTGATTTAGCTCTCAGAAAAGTACATTAGATAAATTTGCTTTATTTGGTTAACTCAAAATGGATGCACTAAAATCTTCTTAAAGTGGAAAAGTACCGTCTTTTACGAACGCTCTATTCATCTCTGCATCAAACACTGTGATGATTTCCTTGCCAAATGCAGTTTGTGATAATTGCTTAACTCTAATTTCTCATATACGTCAAACTAAAATGGGAATTGACAGCAAATTACATGACAGCTCTGTCTGTCTGTCTGGATTCAACATAGAACTTGGCACCGAAGTGCAGCAGTTCGAGTTGCCACGTTCCAAATAGCACACAGAGGTAGATAAGAAGATGAGTGAAGAGAATTAATAGAGTTTGACAAATATAAGAGTGAAACAGCTCTGAGTAGTCGACTACTGTCACCTTCAGAGTATTACCTGTCTGTCTGTCTGTTTTCGACATAGAACTTGGCACAAATGTGCGGAAGTTCAAGTCGCCACATTCCGTGTAGCACGCGAAGCAAGAGAAGAAAGTACAAGAAAAGCATAATAGAAACAGTGAGCAGAGGTGTGAGACAAAGGAGTAATAAAGAAATACAAAACAGTTTCATTGAAGATCATAAGTCACAGGGGGTGGATGCATCTGCGCCACTGAGAACGGTTTTGAGCCATGTCACCAATTGTTTCCAACCATAGATTTTTACCGTCCCGAGGACCCCAGCCTGGAAGTCTACACCTTTCTACGTGGCTTAGACCAACTGTTGTGGATTTCATTGACTGATGCCATGTTTTTGTTTGACCGCCGCTAGCTTTTTTCCAGCCTGACCCTATATCCGCTAACATAGCTCGTCGAGGGAGGCGATGGCTTGGCATACGTAACACGTGTCCTAACCATCTCAGTCTTTATAGCTTCACGACCTCGTCGATTGATTTCCCCTGTTTACCTAGAACTCGACGCCTAACCTCAATGTTGCTCACCTTATTATGCCACTTTACACGGGAAATAGAACGCAGGCACCTATGATCAAAGACAGCTAGTCTTTTCATGTCTTCCACTCTCAGTGGCCAGGTCTCAACCATAAAGGAGGACGGAGCGGACTGATGAGCAGTACTACCTATGATCAGTGGGATAGAATCTTACGAAGGACAGCTATATCAGTTATTGTAACGAAACACTTCTACTAACTCAATCGAATGACTGAATTTTCAGCATAGAAATTTGCATGAAATTGCAGCGGTTGATATTTTATGCCATGCTTTATAAGAGCACATGTTAAGGTATGAAAAGCAATTCAATTTGAAAACATTTTCTGATTGAAGACTCTTTGTTGTACAGATGTCTAAGACTGGAAGGACGATATCCAAATACCTATGTTTAGCAGCCTAAAAAAGCAGAATCGGTAAAGGAGAATAACCATGTGTTTTATAACTACATCTCGAGCAGAGCGTAAATATAAGCTATAACTCCAGACGTCCTGCTAGTGTTGTAGAAATCCGAATACAACACAGATTACACCTTGCGGGACAGTTTTGAGGAACCTGAATCATTAACATGCGCTCCAAGCTCAGAATTTACATCCACTAGAATAAGCATTAGGGACACATGCACAATGCCTGTGAGGAGGCAAAAACTTCCAGACATATAGGAACACACTTTCCAGTTGTATACACCGGAAAATCATTATTGACATACAGGTGAGTACATCAAGAAAAAGTACGTCTGGAGCTGACCACATTCTGTAATACTTCCTGCACCTTTTTGAATAGTACACTTAAGTAGCATTATCTCTAGCGCCATAACTTTCAAGGACTTCGCCAACCCTTGAATCAGACGTTGAAAAGACACTTTTCTGATAACACTCGATACTAAATTAGGTGCCACGAAACAATTTTACATGTACCAGGCTATGAGCTACATTTATTGTGTAGGGGCTAATGATAAGATCCGGTGGCCCAAGCTGAGGTAGGTGGAGCGGGATTTGAACTCTAAACCTAGTAACTTTAAGTCGAATGTTTAAGCCACATAATAGTCAGAACAAATCACTCTTTTCCATAATCTGTACAAATAGTCTGTCACTTAATGAAGAAATCTGTCATGGGACTTATAAGTTTTACACCTAACCTACACTTAAAGTTTCCTATTTACGTTTATAGACGGAAACAAAATGCTCCAAAAAATTTTACAGAAACACTTAATTCTTTACAGTATCAAGCCATCTCTACACGAGTGACAGAAGTGTGTTTGCCGCAGTGAGCAAAATAAAGAAACGAATACAGCACTACATGCGTACTCTCTTAATAAGAGATATATGGGTATGTGGTCTGATAAGTGAGATTTAGCACTACTAATTCCCGATATTCCGACTGAGACTGAGAACTTTAAAAGCTCCTAAGCTTTTAAAAGAATCCTGTGGGAATTTCATAACATGAGTTTATTATGAAAGTGAATTGCATTTTATTAAGTCATAGAATGAAAGGTTCCGCCTGCACATCCCCACCCACCCACTATCTACTACAAAATTCAAACAAAACCGGAGGACGAGATCAATACGTATCTACACTGGGAATATTTGCCTTGATGAATCAAGGCAATGTGGTGGAAAAGCTCCCTGTGCTTGTTCAAAACTAAGTGAAACTCAGATTAATACTGTAACCGTAATACGCAAAAATTATCAGCAAGGATTATGGTTAGCATCCACTTGTAATTCTCGGCTATCTGAATGGTCAAATCAAGGTCATTTGATTTTGGTGTCTATTGTTTACTCTTGCCATGATTTATATGTTAGTACGAACCTTCAAATAGCTTAAAACCCACCATTAATACATATGCAGGCCACCCTGCATCTTAGTTACAATTAAAAATTTACTAGATGACGATACGGATAAAAATTGCACCATATTTAAAATGAGACCTGACACCAATTAAAGGAAAACGTGTCACTTACAGATTTGTAGCGCTGCACTTCGAAAACCGCACATATTATCTAGAAGTCCAATGTGTATGGGGTTGACGTTCTTACTGAACACATTCGGCATGTCGCATGAAATTTTGCCCGGGGAATCTTTTGGTGAATAAATTTCGATGGAATTGTGTCATATGTTCTCTGGATTGATGAGAACTCTCACTTTCAGGTATGTTGTTGTCCACGTCATATAATGTAACTGCAGCACACTCTTAGCATATTGCTTGCATTGGTTTGTGTTTCAGGGTTATTGTGTTGAATCACTGATTAATGGGCAGGATAGGGTAGGATAATGTCGTTTACATAAATCGTCTACTTTATATAGAAGCTACACATTTTCACATAGTATCACTCAATTAAGACTTTAGGATATCAATACAGACTATTTTCGCGTGAAACCCAGTAACGGTTGACGGGTGAATGTTACTAGGACATGAAAATTACCTAAGAATACCAAAATAACTTTTTTTTCACCATATGTGTTTGGACGGGAATTGTCGTAATTTGAAAATGTGTGTTGTGTAGATTCAATGTATAAAAAATACCTCAACCGTATTAGTGGCGTGCTTAGCTGACTGCTATAGATATAGATATATAGGTATAGGTGGTTCTCATGATTGTTTTAAGTGTACTGAAGAAGGTAACTGCTCGCTTAATTTGCATGAGTGTATCACTTAATACGTCAATTTGGTATATGTTATTATTATGCGCACGAATTTTGTTCGTTATGAGAACCTGTTCTAGGAAGCTCTATTGCTGTCAATCTAATGTCTGTCATGGCATTCCACTGGCCTTCCATACCTGGAGTCTGTGTTCCAGTGTCCTTCGTCACTAGTAATAGAAGTGAGTTTTTCCGAAAATTCCCGTTTATGTAGCCTGAAAATATGTGGCATAACGACTGAATGTGTAAGCTGCATTGTATGATAGTATCATCCCCATAAACACAAGGTCTATGTATCTTACAATATTTTAAGCATTGATCTACTCTGTGTTAATGCCGTGTATAATTGTCTGCAGTTGAATTTTATGTGCCCGATATTTAATGGCTTTAATTTTCTAAATGTTCAGATGTAATATCTGAAGGACTCACAAAACCATTTTTAACTAGGCACTGCTCAGACCGTGGATAAATTTTCAAGTTACACATTGACAATACTTCCTTTGAAGTAATCCGGCTTTCACCTGCGTAGACTGCGTGTAATCTTGATGAGAGAACAATGCCTTAGTAGTAGAGATACTTCAAAAGTTGTCATGAAATTCGCAAATAATCTTATACTGACAACATATGAGGCCCGTTTGTGCGCCTTGACACCGACACGTAAAATTATCACTTATAGCACCATGTTGTACGGGTCTTTACATTATTATTATTATTGCTCCCTTGGGTTCTTAGTGGAACATAGGGCTTCAACTGCACGTCTCCATTTTCTTCTGTCTTCTGCTATAATTTTCGCCTGCATCCATGTTAATCCATATTCTTTCAACTCCTCTTCACACGATCTCCTCCATGTCACCATTGGACGTCCCACTCGCCGCTTCCCTTTCGGGTTCCGCTCGAGGGCTTGGCGCATGATGTCATCCAGCGGTCTCCTCAGCGAGTGTCCGATCCATCTCCACTTTCTCCTGCATATTTGTTGGGCGATTGGTTCTTGTTTTGTTTGTTTGTTCCCACAATTCCTTGTTGGTGATTCTTTCCGGCCATCTGATCTTCAGTATTGAGCGAAGACGGTTGTTAATAAAGGTCTGCAGCCTTTTGGAAATATTCTTTGTGACCCGCCCACCAAGTTTCTGATTCGTATAGAAGATCTGACTGACTTGAAGTTTGTATTGAAAATCCGAATTTTGTTGGTGATGCTGAGTGACGAAGATTTCCAGAGTGATTTCAGGCCGATGAATGTGTTTCTCGCCTTCCCGATTCTCGCTCGATTTGAAATCCTCGTCCGCTCCTCCTGTAGTTGAGACAATGCTCCCTAGATAAGTGAAGTGAATGAAGTAACCTCTTTCAAATCCCTCCCGTTGATGGTGATTGACGTTGAATGTTGTTGCTGTTGTTGGTTGGTTATTTTCATAACCTCCGTCTTGTCTATGTTTACCTGGAGTCCTGTCTTTGCTGCTTCTTCGACCAGTTTGTCGGTTTTCGCTTGTAAGTCTTGGATTGTGTGTGACATCAAACATAAGTCATCCGCGAAATCCAGGTCTTCTAAGTTCTTCACGTCGGTCCAGGATATTCCTGTCTTCTCGTTTCCCACAGTCTGACGCATAATCCAGTCCACCACAATTAGGAATATCATTGGTGATAGTAAGCACCCTTGTCTGACATACGCTTTGTTTTTCAGGTATGTGGAGGTTGTCGATAAAGAAATCAGCGAAAATATAAACTGATCAAACCAACGCTAATATCCCTTACAAAAAGTTTCTTCTGTAAATCCATGAAATGTTTAGTGTATTCTTAATCACCACTTATTCTGAACTTCCTCACCACGTCACTTTACTGTGGGCTGCTGTAATACGGGAATTTGGATTGATGCTTGTTAAGCCTATTTAACGGAATGTAGATGTAATGTAGAATTATTTGGTTGTTATATCAGCCATCAGTTGGATTTGTTATCAGTTCCTGTGGAATGTCACATTGTGAAAACTAAGTAGCTTATACCCAGTTGAAAGGACAATATCCTGTTTCGTCAGCTGCACGTCTGTGAACCGATAAACGCCAAAAGACTTGCTTCATATTGTAAAGAAAAATGTAGCTACTTAGGAGTGATAGCTGAATCATTAATCTGTTAGTATGGGATGAAGTCATCAGACAGACTGTTTATCTGATAATAAGTTGAGGGAAAAACCATTAACCATTTCTCATATGGCGTGGAATCGTCTGACATTAGTTAAAATCCATCACCTTTACAATCCGAAATTGCGTATCTGCTCTGTGGACATTACGCATGATTTCATGCATCTTATAAGAACTAACAAACTTTAATTGCTCCACTTCATCGTATTTGGCTTAGTTTTCTTGCTTTAATCATAGTGGTAGCGTGTTTACAGAATTCGCCACATAGCGTATGAGTTTTGAATGTACACTGCAAGTCGGCGAAAATGAGTTTTGTATGCAAACCAAAGTGAATACCTCTACTGCACACTAATCACTTATAAGACTATCTAGTAAAGCATACAAGATCTGTCATTTAATCAGTCACACATTGTTTGATATATGATAACATCTTTAATCTGGATAGTGTTCGTAAAATGTGCGGAATTTTCAGGAGAGTTTATTGCAGGATATTTCCCTCTGTACAGTATCTTCAACAGAATATTAAGTGACAGTATATCCTGTGACACAATGGTCTCTGGGCTGAGGCACAAATTATTCCATTATGATATATTTGCTTTGTCTCCTTCAAGAGATCCATGATTTCTGGTTAAATGCTAATTTTAAGACGATCATAAGTGCATTTTGAGACCCAAGGATATAACTGAAGAACAGTTATCCCATCTATCGGAACACGCTGCCACACGAAATCAGGCTTTTCCACAAGTCTGGTAGGAAAATGGGAATTAAAAGCTTATTAAATTTAAAATAGACACCGGAGTAGATAGTACCAATAGAGGTCATATCTCAGTCTATTGAACTGAACCAAAAGAGAGAAAATATATGCAGCAGAGCGACAGATGTTTCTGGCAGCCCGAGTTTTAAGCCGTCTGCTTAACGTGACAGGATCAACGTCCAGCTTGAAAAGAGTTGGATACCGGATGCATGATATTCATATTATAATCATACAATAAATATACGCTGCTCAGTTCTATGACGTATTATCTAAATCTACGCAGATGCTTAAAGACGGACGCCGCGGAATGCTATCTTCTGAGGCTACTATCTTAGTGGCTTACCATTATCTTTAATTTATAAAGTAAAAGTAGACATTCTGGGATGGTCCACCGAGGGAGAGGGCTCTCGAGTGGTTGCGCCACAGGTTGATCCTGCATGCCATTCTCGTCTCGCAAGAGGCAAAGATGCGTGTGTTCGGTTCTCCTGAAAACCAATACCCAGTCAATAGGTGTATCGTGGTGTGAATGCGTCGGTGGTATAGCGGTTAGGACGCTTGCCGACCATGCGCATGGTCCGGGGTTCGATCCCCGGCCAACACACTCCTCAACCTCGCTGAGCGAGAATTAATGTTTGTAAAGAGGAAAGGTTGGGCATGAGGCTAGCAACCCCATCCTGTAAAATTAAACACTGCTACAGAAACTTCAAGTCACTATCTTGGAGCCCTATGTTCCACCAGGGAACGTGGAGGAAAAAAAGTAATACATATAATGTCACTTAACACTGGCGGAACCAATGTACACAGTGTAATACAAAGCATCGCTATTCAAGAAACTTAACCAAAATGAGCGTCATATTTGAAGGTTGCGCTACCAGGAATAAGTGTAATGAAAACAAAATGTATTAATAAAAACTAGTCACCGTTTTATTTTCCTTCTTTGAGGCAAGATACTCCAAAGTCAACTATCTGGATCAAAAGACACAACAAGTGCAAGGTGTGAACCCTAACGAAGACACGGAAGACTCTTAGGATGTAACACTGGAATCCAGCATTTTTCAAAAGTGATTCTTGTGAAGTAAGCGTTCTCTACACAGCTGGTGTTATGCTTTCATTGTCTTTTTGCCTGCTGCTCTAATTGTTGAATAGGTATTGTAGGTTATTCATAAGCCAAATCTAACTGACATATGCGGGTCTAGTAAGCAAAGCATAAACAATATCAGATAACGCTTACGCTCTAGGGGTTTTACACCGGTATCTGGTTTCCTGTTCTTCCGAAAAAATGCATTCAAGCACAACATATTCACACTTCGAAAATAATTCAGCCTTGTTTAATTTGGGTCCTGTCACTACATACCAGGTGTTTGTAATCTGATTGTAGGCAGTTACATTATATCCACCTTCTCGGAGAAATTCGAAGCTTTTTTCAACTTCAAACCAGGTTCTAAATTTAACTAGT